TGAAATGGAGCTCATAAAGATCAGTATCCTAGGCATTAATGAGCTGAAATGACTAGTATTGGCAATTTTGGATCAGACAATCGTATGAGCCACTATGCCAGGAATGACAAATTGAAGAGAAATGGTTTTGCATTCATCCTCAAAAAGAACACTTCAAGAACACTCCTGAAGTACAACGCTGTCAGTGATAAGACTATATTCATAAGCCTACAAGGAAGGCCAGTTAATATGACTATTATCCAAATTTACATGCTAATACTAATGCAAAAGATGAAGAAATTGAAGATTTTTACCAACTCTTGTAGTCTGAAATTGACCAAACATGCCATCAGGATGCCTTGATAATTACTGGTGATTGGAATGTGAAAGTTGGAAACAAAGAAGAAGAATCAGTACTTGGAAAATACGGCCTTGGTGATAGAAATGATGTCAGAGATCTCATGATAGAATTTTGCAAGACCAACGACTTATGCATTGTGTAGACCTTTTGTCAAGAACATGAACGGTGACTACACACGTGGACCTTACAGGGTGGAAAACACAGGAATCAAATCGATTACACCTGTGGAAAGAAAGGATGGAAAAGCTCAATATTATCAGTCAGAACAAGGCCAGGGGTCATCGGCACCATGAATTGCTTGTATGCAAGTTTAAGTTGAATCTGAAGAAAAATAAAACAAATCCATGAAAACTACAGTGCGATCTTGAGGATATCTCACCTGAATCTGGAGACCATCGCAAGAGTAGATTTGATTCATTGAATGCTAATGACCAAAGACCAGATGAGTTGTGGGATGACATCAAGAACATCATACATGAAGAAAGCAAGAGGTCATTAAAAATACAGGAAAGAAAGAAAAGACCAAATTGGATGTCAGAAGAGACTCTGAAGCTTGTTTTTGAATGTAGAATAGCTAAAACAAATGGAAGAAATAATGAAGTAAAAGAGCTAAACAGAGGATTTCAAAGGGCAGTTCAAGAAGACAAAGTAAAATATTGTAATGAAATGTGCAAATACCTGGACTTATAAAACCAAAGGGCAAGAACACGCTCAGCATTTCTCAAGCTGAAAGAACTGAAGAAAAAATTCAAGCCTCAAGTTGCAATTTTGAAGGATTCT